TGAGACAGGTGCCTGAAGGTAGCATTTAAATTAGACTGAGGGACGCCTGGGTGGCTCAGTGGTTGAGCGTCTGCCTTTGGCTCAGGGCGTGATCCCGGGATCTAGGATGGAGTCCCATGGGGAGCCTGCGTCTCCCTTACCTAGGTCTCTGCCTCTCTGTGTCTCTCATGAATAAATTAATAAATCTTTAAAGTAAATAAATAAGACAGAAAATCAAGCAAGATTTCCATAGGAAAAGATGGATGGGGAAGGGATTGCTTCTTACATTCTCAGCCAGCAATGCTAAAGGACAAAGGAGGTAGTCTGAATGGAATGCAGGTTATGAAGTCTTTAAATAGAATAAGATTAGTAAAATCAATAGGAAGGCCTTGCATATCATACTGTATAGGTTATGATTTTATCCTGTAGATGATAACTCCATGAAGATTCCTAAACTAAGGAGTAGAGTGACAAGGTCAAATGGATGTTTTAGCAACACTGCTACAAGAATTACAGCAGTGGTACAGGAAGCTATATAAAAGATCTGGAGGACTTCTAAATTATTAACTTTACAACTTACTCTTTTTTGATATCTAGTACTTCACTGAATCTTCAACTGCCAATACAGAAAGGGAATAAAAGAGTGAGGAACAAAAGATGGATAGATGCCCTAGTGTCTGGGCCAGTAGTCCTACCATTAACAAAAATGCAGGAAAAGCAGGCCAGGAAAGGAGTTTGAGTTTGATGCTTGTGTGACACTTAGGTCGTTGATGATTAGGTGCCTGCTCTGCAAATAGCTGTTGTACACTGTTGGGTGGGTGGGCAATGTTGGAGGGAAACTAAAAGAGATGGGCTAAGTTACTTCTTGATCTGGAAGTGTTATCAGAACGGTTTTGTTACTTGCAGCCAAAAAACAAACTAGAAGTGGCCTTAGGTATCCTAGTTAAACCAAGAGATAAGACAATTCCAAAGTTGCCTAATTCAGTTGCTCAAAAACATCAAATTCTTCCCATCTTCTCTTTCACCCTGAGAACGCCCTGCTCTTATTTATAAATTCTGCCTCATGACCCTACCATTACTAATGCTAATTTCAAAGTCAGAAAAGGGCTCTTTTCCAGAAGCAGAACACAGCCCTTAATAGCCTACAAGTTGGTTAGAACCATACTATCTAAGTGTTCTATTTACTAGCTCCGACCTTGCACAAATGACTAAACTTCTCTGTGCTTCAGTTTCCTCAACTAGAACACAAGAATCTGAGATGTAAAGGAGTTAATACTGTAGTACCTAGTGCCTAGCATATAGCAAGTTCTATTTAAGTGCTGGCTATTATAGCTTGCCCATCTCTTTCTCTTTTTTTTGAGGCCCTCATACTTTGTTGATACCCAAATTAAAATAGATGTTGGCAATCCAATCAATCAATCAAAACCTGGAAAATCTCTTTTAAATAAGGAAGTATTTTCCAGAAGTCCGCCAGGCTTCCCTTCCTGTCTAATTAGCCAGAGCTGCATCACAAACCCAATCAATCACTGCCTAGGGAGATAGAATTACAATAATTGGTTTATAGTTTATATTAATCAAGACCTATCCCTGGGGCTGAGGAGGGGCTGCCAGGTTCCTGGTTAGCAAGATGTCAGGAATGGGTGATAACACAACCAGAGTCTGCCAAGGCTTAGTCTTTTGAGACTGTGGTCTCTGCTAGGGAAGGTTAGAGTAAGTAACTTCCAGAGCTGCAAGCATCACCCCCACAGGCTCCTAATGGCAGTGAAATCACTACAAGTCTGTTAAAGCTAATGAAGTTTGGCACAGGACTAACAGTATAAAATATAGGCCAGAGCTTGAGTGGAGCTCACCTGAGAGCCAGTGTGAGAACACCAAGTTCTAGATTCATGGAGGTGTGGTATACAAGCTGTGTTAGTGACCCCAGCACACAAAAGGCCTAGATCACCAGCCTTGGACAAGTCACTTAATCTTCTCAAAGCCTCAGTTTATTCATTTATGAATGGGGATAACCCAAACTACCTTGGATTCCATGTTAGGATTAAATATATCCTTACACTAGTTTCACTCACATATGTATAAGGATCAGCCAAAAAAACACATACACCAATAGCTGGATGTTCAGAAAGACCAAGTGGGACAGGGTAGAGGTACCTGAAAGAGTTGGAGAGAAAGAGAGGCTGTCTGACTCTATACTAAAAATCACTTTCAGGACCCTGAAAGTGTCCTGAAAGACTTTGTTGCTCCACATAAGAACCTCCATTTAAGTCTCCCAGAAAATGACTAATTTTACTTCACACCTTAACTCTAAGAGGTTTGTGTACAACAAAATGGGTAAGGATCTCACTTCTGCCATTGTAGCTTACTAGCTGTGTTATCTTCTCTAAGGTTGTTTCCCAATCCATAAACTTTTTTCCCTGAGCTTGATAAACTTAACATTAGCTCCCTCCCTCCCTTTGAGGCACCAGTGTTCCTAAAATTGAAAGCAAAAGCCGATAGGAAATTTACAACATAAAAGTCCCCTAAATTTTCTATTGATAAATAAAGCTGCAGTTACAAAGGTAAGTCCATAAGGCTAGACAGTGGATTTTAGAAATCAAAGTGCTTAAGGGAAAGGAATGCTATTGAAGGTAGAAAAGAATCTGTTCTGATGCCTATGGAGCTCTTAGTAGGCTCTAAACACTGTGCTATCTTAGTCCTCAAAGATCTTGACAACACTCCCTTTCCCTTCCTTCTAGAGTTGAGGAAAGGAAGAATCGGAAAGGAAAATAACATTGATTGTGGGCTGTGCTAGATGCTTTCTACTGCATTTGATATTTAAGTGACTTCTCTGGATGAGAGCTAGAAAGTGGCAGGCAGGATTGTAATACCAGATTTGATTCTAAAGTTACTGCCTCGCAGCTCAAGGGAAAAAATTATGTTTCCTCAGGATCAGAGTTCTTACAAAACTCAATCCCAGAATCTCATTTAGCTCTCCCCTCTACACACAATAGTTGGGGTTAGCAACTCACTTTGGAGTTTTTCCGTTTTGTTCAGACTAAAGATTTCAAAGTGGACCCACTAGCACCAAAACAAAACCCCAAAAAAACCCCAAAACAAAACCCTTTACAACTTTGCCTAGGGGTTAAAAGCTTTCTTCCCTTCTTTCCAGCCCAACCACTAGGTGGCCAAGCCATAACAAAATGCAGCTATAAACCAGGGCATTGGTGGGATCACCCTGGTTTAGCCACTAACTGTGCGTGACCTTGGGTAAGTTACTTTACCCCTCTCTAAGCCTCAGTTTCCTTACCTGTAAAATAGAGTAACAGTTGTATCTGTCTCATTGGGTTGTGCGCATTAAGTAAAATGTGACATGTAAAGCAGTCAGAACCATGCCCACGCGTAGGAAGAGCTTAGCATGATGAATAGTTTTTAATGCTTAAGAGAAAACAGCTCTTCACTGATGGTGCTGTCGCTAAGTCCAAAGACCTCGCCTTCTTATTCCGAGCTCAGGCCTTGCCAGCCGGAGTCCCTTCAGAGAGAGCAACAGGTCGCTCCTTTTCTCCTAACCAGGGCCAGGCCCACACCTGAAATCCCCAATCTACCACATGTGGCCCCGAGGTCTTGGCCTGCGGTTTCCTACTACTGGGCTGTCAATGGGTCCAACCGAACCACCCCATTTCCGCCCGCGGCTCGGGAAGTTCTGCCGGCCTTCAGCGGCCCGGGCTGCTTTCGGCATGGCTGCCCCAGATTACGGGCCTGGAGTCGGCTCGCCTGGCGCTGCCTCACCAGAGGACTCTATTCACGACGTAAGCAGGGTGTCCCCGGAGTTTACAGGAGCCCCCGGATCCAGTCAAGATGAGCGTCGGTCAAACACACGCCTGGCGAGGGCTCCTCAGCGCCGCCCCGGCCTGCCGCCGGTAGCCCGTCCCCCAGCCCGGGTCTCGGCGTAGGCCGGAGGGGCGGCCCCCTTCCAGACCCCGGGAACGCGTGGGCTCCGGCCCAGGGCCACCACGTGGGGGCTCCAGGCGTGGCAAGGTGCTCCCGGAACCAGCCTCCGAAGACTGCTCCCGCAAGGGCCCTCGTCCGGCCCCGAACTGGCCTGAGCGGCTCTCCCGGCCTGGCTTCTCCCCTCAGACCTCTCTGGAAGAGCCTCAGACATCTTCCGCAGACCAGAGACAGGCTCCGGCTAGATCCCAAGCCCCAGGACTGCCTCAGCTCGAGTCCCCAACTGCCTGGCGTCCTTACTCACCCATCGCGGCTCCGCTCGCTCCTACTTGGCGGCGGCAGCGGCAGCGGCGGCAGCTTCAGCGGTAGCTTCAGCAGACAATATGGCGGATCTGCAGGACGGCAGCCCGAAACGGACAAACAATTTAACATTCAACCCGGGGAAGAAACGCGCTCTCCGCCCCACAGCCCAGTTTGCTGGGAGGAGCGCATTTAAAGAGACCGCAGCTACTAAAGGCGGGGGAATAGGGATGGATTAAAAAGGAGTAGTGGAGAGCGACTAGGAGGGATACTTACTAAGAAAAATCAAGAGTGCTTAGGAATTCTCAGCTTTTCCTGCTCGTATTTCCTCTTTATAGTGCGGTCTCCTCCCCTAGAAAATTTCTCTCCCAGAAACGCATTCCTTCCTCTCGTAGTTAAAGCCGATCACAGACCCTGAGCTAGATATTTATAAGGAATCCTCTGGAAGAAGAGATTTGCTTAAGGATATGGAGATAAGGAAATAAAGAAGTTAAGAGTAAACCCGATTACAACCTTATTGGGAGATAAGTGAAAAAATAATGAGACCGGTGCAGGGCTTTATAGTTGACAGAGCGCTTTCATCCTCCACCCTACCCCCAGCAAGCTGAGGGCAGGAGGTGGGGGGTGGGGGTGGGGGTGTGGGCGGGATAGGTTCTGTATTTTTATCACCATATCTTAGGTGATATGACAACCTAAGGATCTGCACATGCTATATGCTCCATAGATAATTTAGTAAAAAAGGAACAAATAAATAAGCCTGTGATTTCTTTTTTTTATATATATATATTTTTTTTAATTTTTATTTATGATAGTCACAGATCGAGAGAGAGAGAGAGAGAGAGAGAGAGAGAGAGAGAGAGAGAGAGGCAGAGACACAGGCAGAGGGAGAAGCAGGCTCCATGCACCGGGAGCCCGATGTGGGATTCGATCCTGGGTCTCCAGGATCGCGCCCTGGGCCAAAGGCAGGCACCAAACCGCTGCGCCACCCAGGGATCCCAAGCCTGTGATTTCTAATAAGCGAGGATGATCTCCCTTTTTAGAGATAAGGAAATTGAGACTAAGTGTTCATGTGCCTTTTGATTCATGGAATTTATGGCTGGTATACATCAGACCTCCCTTCCTCCATGACAGGCCAGTCCTGTCCCCCATCTCAACAAACAGAAGGCTATGTCTTCAAGTCACCAGTCCTACAGGGAACTGTCTTTTGGCAGCAGGATGAGAGACCTGGGTTTCCAGGTTCTGTTGCAACAAATTGCCTTCTTTAGTTTGTGCTTGACCGGATAAGGAAAACAACTCAAAAAGTCAACTCTGGAACTCAGGGTCAGGCCAGGACAGGGAGCATTATCTTTCTCTTCCTACTGCCACTGCTCAAGGCTGAATCTCTGTGTTTTCTCCTGGCTGATTTTGCCTGCTTCTCACTGGTCTCCCAGCTCCAGGCTTTCCCACTTGCACCCACTGTCTCAATAAAGCAGAGACATGGTCAAGTTGTTCTTCTGCTTAGCATCTTCTGTCATTAGGTACTGTCCAAACATTTCAATCTGTCACACAGGCTGGTCCTTATTCACTTCTTGGTCTCCCCACTAGGCAACCCAGGCTCCATCCATATTTGGGGAACCCCCTTTCCCAAGTATGCTATCTTTTGTGCCATTGTATGTGCTGTTTCCTCTGCTTGAAATGCAATGCCCTCCCTTTCCCCCTTGACCAAAGGGTGAACAAGTTCACTTTCAAGAACCAACTCAGGGACACCTGGGTGGCTCCGTGGTTGAGCATCTGCCTTTGGCTCAGGGTGTGATCCCGGGTCTGGGGATCAAGTCCCGCATCGGGCTTCCTGCATGGAGCCTGCTTCTCCCTTTGCCCCTCTCATGAATAAATAAAATAAAATGATCCAATTTAACCCTCCCTTTCTTGAAAAACCCTGTCTTTCCAGTCTGGGTCTCTCTGTCCTCTCTGTTCCCAGTGCCCTGGACATGTATTTTCCTCAGCACTTAGCACCCTAATTTGCTCACAAGGTATGCCTCTCTCTCCTGGTTGTCTAAGGAAGGGACATCTTCCTCATCTTTGTATCTGTTCCATGCCTAGCATGATGCCTCCCTCAACAGAGACACCAAAAACTTTTGTTGTAGTGTCTGTCTCCCATACGCCACCACAGTCTTATCTGCATATCCTGTGGCTAACAAGGGCTCAAGGAAGGAAAGCAGAGTAGACTGGCTAGGACTGTCCTTTTCTCCCAGCCTGAGCCCTCCAGCCTGTCCTGTAGGAGCCAGGTAGCTCTCTAAGCATCTTTGTTTCCACTCTAGTAGTTGACCTTGCTTACACACCCTCCCCTGCCCAGAACCATTGGTCCTCCCTAATCCATCACCTCTCTGCAGACCCACCCCACCCCTGCTCCATGTTTCTTATCCTCCCTGCTCTAGAAAACATTCTGCTTCCCCTTCCAAAATACACCAGGATGTTCCAAATCTCGGGGCTATTCTATGTGTCCTTGAAGTGCCCTTCCCCCATTTTGTCCACCTAGGAAGTGGCTGACAACTCAAACTATCCCATCCTCCAAAAAGTCCAGAGAGTATTCTCTCCTGTGGTACTCTGTATCTTGCAACTGTTATACCCATCTCAGTGTAGTAAGACTTTTTTTGTTTCTGTCTTGGCATCCTGTCTACCACAGCACCTGACACACAGCAGGGCCTCAGTGACTGCATGCTGAGAGCAGCAGGACATCACATTCTCCTAGGATAGTGGTGTTTTTTGGCTTCTGTGATACTTTAGGCAAGTCACTATAGTTCTCTGTGCTCATTCTTCAACTATAAGATTGGAGTGACAGCACCTACCTCCTAGGGTTGTCATAAAGGTTGGATTGAGACAAGGCCTATAATACACATAAGAATAATGTCCCATATACAGTATTCAGCCGTCAGAAGCTACCACTGTTTCCACAACCTCTGGTGCCTCAACTCTTCTCCAATGGAGAAGGCAGGACCCACAGAGGCCCCAGAGGCAAGAAGGGAAAGAAACAAATGACACACAGACTTAATGGGAGTATAAAAATAGGACTTTTCCCCCCCCTCATAATCACATCAATTATCAAAGAAACAAACAGTATGTAACAAAAATACAAAGCTCTGGTAAATTTTTTTTGTCTCTTTTTGTGGGTTTTTCTGCCCCTCACCCAACCCTCCCCAACAGCCCCTTCCCAGAGAACCCCTGGCTGAAGCCTGGATGCTGTCCCTGGGGTCACCCTGGGGCTTAGGAGAACCGGTGGTCCAGATCCCTCTGGGGGCTGGCTGAATAGGAGTAGGCCTTGCCCAATACCAAGCGGTCCCGCAGCAGCTTGAAGAAGGCATAGTAGTTGCTGAAGAGGATGAGCGCCAGTGAGATCGTCTGGTGCCACTTTTCAGAAGACATTAAGGAGTATAGCTGGTAGACAATGACAGCACCCTCCAGCAGCAGAAGGATGTTGAGGATCCGCAGCGGTTTGCTGAAAAAGAACTGCCCAGGAAAAGGAAGGCAGGGATGGGAAAGTATGTTCTAATAACCTGCCTCTTGGAAGGGGCTTCTGAGGGGGGGGGGAGGGTGGCAGTGAAGGGGACAAGCTCATGGGGCCCCATGCAGACGTGGGCGGGGAGGAAGACTGTAGGGTTGGGTGTGGACTTTGCCACCTCTCTGCTTTTGCTTGTGGTCGTTCTGTCAAGACTACTGCTTCCCACAGCAGTTGTTTAAGATCTTGCTGAACTTCTACCTCCCCCAGGAAGCTTTTCTTGAGAGATCTTGCTTGCTCACTCAAATTTTTTCTGGTCTACAATCAACACCTTGTTATATGTGATCCTTCTGGGTACAGTCAGGCCTGAACAAATTAGAATCTTACGACACAGGTGTGCAAAGTTATTACAGACTCTACAGCCTGAGTCACCCACTTCTTCATGGGGAGCACCCTGACTTAGGCCAGAAACTTCCAGGGCATGTGGCGACACCTCACTCTGACCTGGTGTTTTCAAAGCAAGGGAGAGTGCAGGAACTCAAGAAAAATGTTTTGATCAGTTTGAAAGAGTGATCAACGCTTAGGGAATCTTGATTCTGCAGGGGCCAAGGTACCTAAACCTCAAGAGCTGCTTACAGGATAAGAAGAGATGTGACAGGAGATGGGAGTCCAAGAAACCAGCCCGCCAGTCTCAGCTCTGCATCTGACAGTCTGCAGAACCCTGGGCAAGTCCCTTTCCTGTCTGGGGCCCAGATTTCTCTAATGTAAAGAGGGCACCAAGATCAATGATTTCTGAAACTGTGTTCCTTGGAACCCCAGGTTCTGAGGCAGCCTTTTAGGGGCCTACAGCAGTGGTGAGTGGGAAGTAAAGGGAGTTCCAACCCTTTTAAATAGAATGGTGCCATGAAATCCTATATACCAGACTTTAGTCTATGACTAAAGTGTTGGAAAAAAAGGATTTTGATAACAAAATAAGTAAATAAAATGGAGACCACTAGCCTCAGTGATTTTGAGTTCTTTACACTATGCTGAGGCCATGAGTCCTTACTATGAGACCCCAAGTTTCCTAGCAAAGCACCCTTGAACAAGTCAGATTCTAAGTCAATTTCAGCCTCAGAAAATGAGGATAGCCCTGGTACTCCTCTCACACACATCCAGCAATAGTTGGATGGAGGGTGTATGGCAGGTGCTTACCATTGTGCCTGGCACACCACACTGAATGAGAACAGTTACGATTTTTGCCCCTGAGAACCTCTCTTTTATTTTATCAGTTTTCCTGCCTCCACCTGATGTTTTCAAAGATCTGCTACCAAGTAAGCTGCCGTTATGAAGTCACCATATGGACGGCTGTCCTGTGCTGCACAGGTGGAGTTTCCTTTGGATTTGAGAAATGCTGAAAATGGCTTTCTGTTGCTAGGACATTATCCCCTGCCCCCAGATCCTCCCGCCTTGAGAGCAGCCCTCGCCCCTTCTTCCCTGGGGAGGAGACTCACGTGGAAGCGGAAGTGGGAGACGTCAGAGGGGATGGCCACGTTGTAGTGGCCCACTGCTTTGTAGACGTTCTTGCTGTGCTTCACCAGCACGCCCTGTGGCCACATGCATTCCTCCGTCCACCTGGAGGCACAGCCCAACAGTGCCCCTTATGCCCAGCTCGCCCCCAAAAAGGGGTACCAGAAGACTGGGCCTGGTGTGACCACCAGGGCCCTACTCCCATTTCTATTATTTAGACACAGTGACTTTCCTTTTTTGGTCTCAGTTGCCTCCTCTGTAAAAATGGGGTAAGAATCATGAGAAATCCACTGCACTGGGAGTCAGAAGGTCTAGGGTTGAGATTCACATCTGAGGGACTGTCAAGAAAACCCTTTCCCTCTAGTCCCACCTAGCGCCTCCAATTAGTCCACCAGACAGCTACCTGAGAGGTCTTGGGAAAACACCAAGCTGAGCCTATTCTCCACTCAAAACCCTTGGAAGTATTTTCAGTGCCCTTGGAGTCAAGTCCCTAAGGATTCGCCATGGCCTCTGAGGCTCTGCTCGGTTTTCCAACTCCCTCCTACTGCACAGTTTGTGATCAAGCCATTCAGAGCTGCTTCTAGTTCCTCCAGCACAGTTTACTGTTTCATGTCTCTGCATAAGTCACTCCCTTCAACTGGACTGCCCTTCCTGATCCCATCCTTCTGGCAAGTTCTTTCTAAACTCAGGATCCTCCAGAAAGCCTTTCTCCAACTCCCTAGAGTTCAGCATCCTTCAGCACCTCCCTGGATTTCCTGCTACTGGTCCACTCTCCTCAATGTTTCATTACTTATTTTCCTGTATCCCTCACTAGTCTGGGAGCCTTTGAGGGAGGGGACGGTGTCCATTTCAACTCTGTCCTTGGAGCATGGCACAAGGCCTGGCACAGAGGGGCCTTAGAGAGCACATGAAGGTGGGATGGTGGAATCTTCTGATTCTTCCAGTGTTCTGTCAGATTTCCCAGGGACTCCAAGGGTCCTGGGCCAGAGGACAGAGAATTGCTGTCCACGAAAAACCCTAACTCAGGTTCCTACCCTGTGGATTCATTCATTTAAAAACCAGTTATCAGGGCACCTAGGTGGCTCAGTCAGTTGAGCATCTGACTCCTAGTTTCAGGTCAGGTCCTAATCTCATGGCTCATGAGAGAAGCATCAAGCTCCGCTCTTGGTGGGAGTCTGCTTGGATATTCTCTCCCCTGCCCCTCCCCTGCTCACATGTGCACTCTCTCTCTCTCTCAACCATGTAAATAAAAAAATTTTTTTTTAAGATTTGTATTTATTCCTGAGAGACACAGAGAGACGCAGAGAGAGGCAGAGACACAGGCAGACGGAGAAGCAGGCTCCATGCAGGGAGCCCAATGTGGGACTTGATCCCAGGACTCCAGGATCATGCCCTGGGCTGAAGACAGGCGCTTAACTGCTGAGCCACCCAGGCGTCCCAATACATCTTTTTAAAAAAATTTAAAAACCAGTTATCATGTTATACCTAACAATGTGGATGAATCTCATAGGCAATATACTGAATGAAAAAGCAGCAGAACCAAGATTTCATTTATGTTAAGTTGTAGAACAGAAGAAGTAGAAGAAAGTAGAAAAATGGTTGTCTAGGTGGTGGTGGTGGGTGGAAGGTGGTCACTGGGAAGAGCCAAGAGGAAATTTTCTGAGAAGTTGTAAATGTTCTACATCTTGTTCTACCTATACATGGGTGTACAGGACTATCAAAACTCAAAGAACTGTACACTTTAAGATTTGTGCATTTCAGAGTGCCTGGGTGGCTGTCAGTTGGTTGTCTGCCTTCAGCTCAGGTCATGATCCTGGAGTCCCAAGATCAAGCCCTGCACTGGGATCCCTGCTTAGTGGGGAGTCTGCTTCTCCCTCTCCCTCTGCCCCTCTCCCAGCTCATGTTCTTTCTCTCTCAAATAAACAAAAATCTTAAAAAAAAAAAAGATTTGTGCATTTCAGACTTAACTACAGAAACAAATTGAGGGTTGCTGGGGGGGGGGAGGTAGGCAGAGGCTAGAGTAACAGGGTGATGGGTATTAAGGAGGGCACTTGATGGAATGAGCACTGGGTGTTAAACACAACTGATGAATCACTAAATTTTATCTCTGAAACTAATTATACATGTTCATTAAATTGAATTTAAATTTAAAAAAGATTGCACATTTCACCATATATAAATTTTACCTTAAAAAAACATGAAACACAAAACACCAAAATTTTCTGTGGACCTATTATAAGCCAGGCATTCTGCTAAGAGATGGCCAAGTGTTTAACAGGCAAGGATCCTGACCTCCAGGAGCTTTAGTCCTGGGAAAATAGGCAAGCGACTAAGCAAACAGAGTAGGAAGTGTTAGGTGCAATAATCACGATATTACAGGATTGTGAGAGCACAGGGGAGGGGGCCCTGAACTCATTGTGGGTGGTGAAGAAAGTATTGCTAGAGGAAGCAAACTACTAAAGGATGCATAGGAATTAATCAAGAAAGAAAGTTGGAAATGGTAGTCCAGGCAAAACAAGCATCATGTGGCTTAGGCATAATACAAACATATACAAAGAATCTGAGAATCTGGGATGCCTTGGTGGCTCAGTGATTGAGCGTCTGCCTTCGGCTCAGGGCATGATTCTGCAGTTCTGGAATCAAGTCCCACATTGGGCTCTTTGCATGGAGCCTGCTTCTCCTTCTGCCTGTGTCTCTCTGCCTCTCTCTGTGTCTCTCATGAATAAATAAATAAAATCTTTGGAAAAAAAAAAAAAGAATCTGAGGATCTGAAGCGGTCTGGTCTGGCTAGAGCACAGTATGAATGGGGAAGGCAGGGTAAAAGAGGATGCAGAAAAGGCTGGCAGGACCCAGTTCAGCAGCTGGGAAGCCATGTGAAGGGGTCTGGGTCTTCTCTACAGACCAGGACCATTGTGAGCAAGGCACAGGTTTCTCCTCATGTTCAGCTTTATTTTATCTTTCTATTCCTCCTTCCCCCACAGAGGCCAAGGCTAAGCTAGGCCCTCTTCTGGCTCATTTAGCAATGTCCATCCCCTTTCCTGAACCATTTGGACAGAGCCTGAGAAGAACCCTGACTAGCACAGAGGGCTATTTGACTCCAAAGGTTATGGTCCTGACCACAGTTCTCTAAGTTCTCTTACTTAGCCTTACCCCAGAGAGAACAGTAGCATCCCCGTTTTATAGACCAGAAAGCAAAAACCCAAAAAGGCCAACTGCTTGCCCAAGAACACTCATGTATCCCTTCTTGGAACATCAGAAAAGAGGAAGAAAAAAAATGACCATTGATAAGAAAATATAGCATTCTCATTCGCCCTAAGTCCTGGGGGCAACCCAGGGACCCTTGGGGGGCTGTGTCTGAGGAAATGGATAAGCCCCAAGCTAAAAAAAAAGGAAAGCCTGTAAACAACACCTATTATGGGATGCCTGGGTGGCTCAGGAGGTTGAGCGTCTGCCTTTGGCTCAGGGTGTGATCCCAGGATTGAGTCCCACATCGGGCTCCATGTGGGAGGGAGCTTGCTTCTCTGCCTATGTCTCTGCCTCTCTCTCTAATGAATAAATAAATAAAATCTTAAAAAACAAAACAAAACAGCACCTACTACAATGTTCCATGCTACTCCCCTGCATTATTTATTTTTTATTAAAAGTAATCTCTAGGGCAGCCCCAGTGGCTCAGCGGTTTAGCGCCACCTTCAGCCCAGGGCATGATACTGGAGACCCAGGATGGAGTCCTGCATGGGGCTCCCTGCATGGAGCCTGCTTCTCCCTCTGCCTATGTCTCTTCACCTCTCTCTCTCTCTCTCTCTCTTTGTGTGTGTGTGTGTGTGTGTGTCTCATGAATAAATAAATAAAATGTCTTTAAAAAAAAGTAATCTCTATGCTCAAGTTGTGAGGCTTGAACTCACAATTCCAAGATCAAGACACATGCTCTACTGAGCCAGCCAGGTGCCTCTGTAGCCTCCCTTGGCATCTCTGCTTCTTGGTGGATCTACCTCTAAAACCTGTCCTAGGGACCTCTTCTCTGCCACACCTTGTGCTGGGCCCAAGGCTTGGATTTGATTCAGGTGGGCCCAGCCTTAAGGAGCTTTCGGTCTAATGGAAAGTGAGGGTAACCTGGATGAAATGTACCGTAAGGTAGGTACTATGAAGGATGAGCCAGGCTGAGGGGAGGTCGACCTAGCACCTCAGGGCTCCTGAGCAGATGTTTCTGTCTCTGCAATGCTGTCCTGCAGCCGGGCTTCTTTCTCTCCATCATCCTATAACCATTTGTGTACATGGCTATCACCTCCACCACACCAACATCCTCAAGGACTACATCTCAGTCATTCCCTCTCTGTGGCTCTGCTTCCCTGGCCAGGGCTCACCATCGGCTGATATGGCACCATATCCTCTGACCAGACTGATATTTCTAAGGCACCTTGGAATGGGTTCCTCCACTGTTTAAAACCCTCCATAGCACCCTTCTGCCTGTAGGTCAAAATCCAAGCTCTTCTGTCCAATACATAGCACCAGGTCAGTTACAGCTCTGGGAAGGTAAATGTCTGCCAGAAAGGAGATGACCTAATGCTTGAACAATGAGTGAGCAGGTGACAGAAGCAGAGAAGCGGAGGATGAATGCAAGAGCATATTGGTCAATGAGGTGAATAAATAATGGTCAGTGAATGAAAAAGTCAATGGGTCTATGAATTTACTGCCTGGCCTCCTCCCACCTCCAGCACACTGCAAGTTACCTAAGCACAGAGGACACGTTTGCCTTGGGCCCTGCCATACCCTACTCTGGCCTCAAGGCCTAGCATATGAGATGTGCTCAACAACTATCTGCCAACTGAACGAATGAGTTGGTGAGGGAGGAGACCAGTGACTCCACAGGCACTGACCATAAGGGGGTAGACTGGGCAGGGGAGGGGAGGGCGACTCACGGGTGCTGCAGCACATTGGAGCACAGCGCTGGGTCCACCTTCTGCCAGCAGCCCAGGTGTGCAGCGGCCTTGTGCAGTAGGTCGCAGTAGCTGGCGGGCAGCAGGTGCTGCATGAGGATCACTGATGTGCTGATGGACACCAGCAGGAAGAGCTCACAGGACCAGCGCTTGTCATAGTAATGTGTGTTCTGGGAGCAGTAAGAGATGGATAAGGCCAGGAATGTCCATAATGGCCTCCCTCCCTCCCCCTTACCAGATTCTACCTGCCTCAGAAACCATGACAGCCTTCTGGGAGGAGGGGGGAGGCCTGAGACCAAGGATCAAACACCAAAGAAGACTTAAGCTTAGACCCTGTGGCCACTACTCAGTCCTACAAACTCTTCTTACAGAAAAATTGCTCCCACTGCTTACTTCTCTGAGCCAGAGCACAGGCTTTGGGATCCAACAGACATGAGTACCAATCTTGGCTCTGCTGCTTATGAACTATGTGATGCTGGGCAAGTCATTTCATTTCTCCATGCTCTAGCTTTCTCTTCTTTTAAATGGTAATAGTTACCAATCATCTCTGAGAGGTGTTAGGAGGATTATCACATTCATGAAAGCTCTAGAACACTGTAGGTGGTCAAGAAACAGTAAGTCGTCTCAGCCTCAAATCACTCAGGGCAGTCCATCCCTGGAGAAATGTTTCAAGCCTACTGTCAGCTGGGGAGGGACCTTCCTAGGCGACCATACTGCTAGGGAGAAAGCACAGGCTTTTGGAATCACTCAGGTCTGGATGAATCCTGGCTTTCCTACTGAATGATAAAGCTGGATACTGTGACATGCCTGGGCCACAATAGTCATAGTGAAATACATCACTGTTTTGTTATCAAGTACTATGAACAACAGTGTCATGTCCCCCTCATTGGCTGGGTGACAGGTGGTGCAGGTCACTTGGAGAACAGCCTTGTTCTCTCCACTCTACAATGGAGGCAGTAGTTACTCTAACCCTCCAGAGAACAGATAGCAATCTGATCAAAAGGGTCCACTTATTTATGCAAGCAGGAGGGCTCCTGGGGGGCAGGCAGCAGAGTAAGGCCCCAAACAGGTCCCTCCCCTCTCTGGGTTTAGCTACGCACCTTCACGAACCAGACAGGCACAAAGGCCACATAATAGGCACTCAGCATGGAGCTGACCAGCACTTCCTTCATGCGCCAGTTGAAGTCCATCTTGAGGAACTCCACCTCACTGCGGATGAGACTGGGGGACAGGCAGCAAGCATGGGTGGGCATGGCATCTGGGCCGTACAGCTGCCGTGTGTGCTGCTTCCACGTCTCCCTCAGTGTCAGCAGATAGTCCCGGCTCCGTGCCAGGCCACTGACGGCCTCCCGGGGCCCCATGGAGGCCATGTGGCTGAAGAGGTTGGTCTTGCGGAGGTCACAGTTCAGCTGCAGGAACGGAATGTACATCCCAAACCTGCTGGGGAATACAGTGGTGAGGGGAAGCCTGCCCATGGGCCACAATCCCAACCCTTACCCACGGAGGGAATCTTCTTTCCTCCCTGGGCCTTAGCTTTCCTGGCTACTCAGAGGGGTAGAATTTACCCCCATCTTTCTATTCAGCCATTCTCTGATCAGACATTCAACATAGGTGTTATTGGGTGCAGGCCAAGCGTTGTACCGAGCATCGGGGAATAGAGTAGGAAGCAGGAGATGAGGCCCTGCCTCGTGGTCTATTGCTAACAGTGATCCTAACAGCCCACATTCATTGGGCACACAAGTTGTCTTCTTTTGCTTCTCCTAAGAACACTATGCACTCAGTACTATTTTGTATCCCTCCAAAGAAGCTGTGGCTCAGCTAAAGGTTGAGTGTGAAGTGGATTCCCAAAGGTTACCCTAAGTAAGGAAGCAATACAGCTGAGATTCAAGCCCAAAACCATCTGGTACCAAAGACCAAGATACATACTAAACAAATACTATGAGTGATTAATTAGCTAAAAATGTACAAGGGGTGCCTGACTGGCTCAGTCGGAGAAGTATGTGGCTCTTGATTGTGGGGGTCATAAATTTAAACCCCACACTGAGCACAGAACTTACTTAAAAAAAAAAATGTATGCAGTACCACAAGAGAGGTCTAAGTTGTTACAGCTGCATACTTGAGAGTCAGCTCATCAGCTTGTGGAGGAAGGTGGTTCAGGAACAGTATTTACTATGTGCCTATTATGTGCCAGGCACTGAAATGGGCCCTTGAAAAGTACTAATCCCTTTCCTTGTGCAGTATCCTTAGGGCTGTAGCTAATTAGTCAAAGGGTGCATCGCTGCTATCTTCTTTTTTGGCTGGTATCTTTTTTTTTTTTTTTTTTTTTTATGATAGTCAGAGAGAGAGAGAGAGAGAGGCAGAGACACAGGCAGAGGGAGAAGCAGGCTCCATGCACCGGGAGCCCGATGTGGGATTCGATCCCGGGTCTCCAGGATTGCGCCCTGGGCCAAAGGCAGGCGCCAAACCGCTGCGCCACCCAGGGATCCCTTTTTTTTTTTTTTTTTTTATTTATTGGCTGGTATCTTTTGAAGAGAAAATTAGATGGACCCAAAGCCCAGGAAAGTAGATAAGTAGGGAAAGTAGATAATTTTAAAAAGTAGTTAAGAGCCAGGGCACCTGGCTGGCTCAGTTGGTGGGGCATATGATTCTTGATCTGGCAGTTGTGAGCTCAAGCCCCCCACACTGGGGCATAAAGATTACTTTAAGTAAAATAATAAATAAAAAAACAAATAAGTAAATAAATGGGAAACAATAGCTCAGTACATGGAACATTGTAATAGGTGCTATTTACAGGCTTTCCTTTTTTTAGCTTGGGGCTCATCCTTTTCCCCAGGACCTCAGACATAGCCCCACAAGGGTCCCTGGGCTGCCCCCAGGAGTTAAGGCCAATGAAAATGCTGCATTTTCTTATCAGTAGTAATTTTTTTCTTCCTTTTTTCTGTTCCAAGAAGGGATACATGAGTGTTCTTGGGCAAGCAGTTGGCCTTTTTGGGTTTTGCTTTCTGGTCTATAAAACAGGGATGCTACTGCTCTCCCTGGGGTAAGGTTAAGTAAGAGAACTTAGAGAACTGTGGTCAGGAGCATAGCCTTTGGTTGAATAGGCCAGGGTTAAAATCTCAGCTCTGCTAGTTACTCGCATTGTAATTTAGAGCAAGTTATTTAATGTATATGAACCTCAGTTTCCCTAATTTGCCCTAAGTTACATAGCTTGTATTGATTTTCTACACTTAGTCAGGCGTTACTCCTAGTGTTCATAAATACTCTCTTTAAACCTTCCAACAATGCCCAGCACGGTGCTTGATCCAAAGGAGAAGATCCATAAAATTTTGTTTAGAAAAGAGAGATCAGTGATTGTATGGGACAGAAAAGAAGACTGAAATGGGATTCCCAAAACACTCTTCAGGACACCTTGTGGGAATGAAGGAGGGGGGAACCTACAGGAACATACAAGGGATTCAGACCCAAACTTAAGTCCAAGTATTTAAGAATCTCCCTGGTTTTGCCTCTAAGAAGGACTGCAAATATAATTAAATTATTTGGTAACAGCAAGTGACTGCTCCGCAGGTCACAAGTTAGAAGCAACCTCACATGTAAGATGGCAGATTCCCTCTCCTTTTCTCCACTTAAGACGTGACAGTATAAAAATAGAAAAGAAATTCCTATCAGCAAAAAGAATGGGAGTGGGATTATCAGTTCACAAGTGATTTTAACAAATTTAGAAAGCAGATGGAAACATGTTGACAGATGAGGAAGGAAGCCATCATCTAGAGCAGCGTTGTTCAACACAAATATAATGAGAATCACATACATACTTTGAAAATTTCTAATAGCCACATTAGAAAAAAATATGAAGCTAATTTTAATACTCAACCCAATATATGCAAAACATTATCATTTCAACATATAATCAACATTTACAAATGAGATTTTTACTTATTTTAAGATTTTACTTATTTATTTTAGAGAGAGAGAGAGAGAGAGAGAGAGAGAGAGCTAGAGTACACAGAAGTGCCTGCAAGGAGAAAGGGGAGAGGAACAGGCAGAGAATCTCAAGCAGACTCCACACTAAGTGCAGAACCGATGCAGGGCTCAATCTCACAACCCTGAGATCATGACCTGAGCCAAAACCGAGAACCGGATACTTAATGGACTGAGCTATCCGGGCATAACCTACTTTCTTTTTTTGTTGTAAGTCTTCAGAATCTGAAGTTTATTTCAGATTATAACACATTTCAAACTAGCCTCTTTCAAATGTTCAGTACAACAAGTGGTTAGAAGCTACTAAACTGGATGTAGGTCTAGAGTGTATAGGTCTAGAATATGCTATGAGAGGGCTGCCCTGGGGGTAGGAGCTTATCTGCCCAGTGACCCAAGTAAGACTCTGGCTTGAAGTAGGCATAGCTGATAAAGGGTAGAAGCAAGCAGCAGGACTGAACAAATGGGATTAAGCAAAGATCTGTATTTATTTGTAAGAGTCAGTCCCCTCATTCTCTTACCTCATGCAACTCTGAAGGATTCTTCTGTAAAAAAATTTGAACAAACTGTCTAGGGAGAATTGTGGTCTCTAATGGGGGCACCCTAGAGTAACCCCCTCACTCTGGCTTCTGGCCTATTGGAGCCCACAACCCGACAACTAGCACCATACTCCCTCATCCTAAAGCAAAGTCTGCCAGTCAGTGTGTCCTACTTATGTACTTAGAATTCCTGATCAAAACTCCCACTCACATATACAATGGCAGAGGGAGACGAAATGTGGTTCAACCTATTCAGTCCTTCATTTGTAAGTGTAAAGAGACAACCAAAGAAACTAACTATGCTTAGGGGATCCCTGGGTGGCTCAGTGGTTTAGCGCCTGCCTTCGGCCCAGGGTGTGATCCTGGAGTCCTGGGATCTGGATCAAGTCCCACATCAGGCTCCCTGGATGGAGCCTGCTTCTCCCTTTGCCTGTGTCTCCGCCTCTCTCTCTCTCTCTCTCTCTCTCTCTCTCTCTCTCGAATAAATAAGTAAAATCTTAAAAAAAAAAAAACTATGCTTATAAAACTAGCAGCATGAAACAAAAAACTGACTCTAGTAGAAAGACAAAATTCAGGGAACAGAAGAGATTTTTAAAACAAGAACAGAATGCTATGAGAAAAGAACAATCAGAAAACAAGAGGCCTTAGAAATGAAAATATGATGCTGAAAAACTCAGTAAAAAGCTAAAAGATAAAGTTGAGGAAATCTCTCTAAAGGCAAAGTAAAAAGAGAGAGGAGTAGGATAGAGAAGGCAGGATGGAGGGAGGGAGTAGAGGGAGAGAAAAAGAAAGATGAGAGAAAGGGAGAGAGATGAAAAATATGAGAGAAAATATAAGAGAAACAGATGATCAATCTATGAGGTCTACCACCTGATGAACAGAAGTCCCATAGAGAATAGAAAAAAATGGAAGGAAGAGATTATCAAAGAAATAATAGAAAAATTTCCTGTTCTGAACAAATACCCACATCTCAGGTTGAAAGAGTCCTAGAGTACTGATAAGATGAATGACAAAAGTGCCACACCAGATACCACCTTGTGAAATTTCAAATCAAAAGATTAACAGGGTATTTCTAAAAACTTTCAAAGGAAAAAACAAGTCATCTACAAAGTAACTGGGATCACACTGGCATCAGACTTCTCATTAGAAACACTGGATGCCAGAGACAATAGAGTAATATCTTCAAACTTCTGAGAGAATATGAATTTGAACTTAGAAATCTACATTTAGCTGAATCATCAATCAAGTATGAGGGTAGAATAAAGGCATTTTTAGACATGCAAGGCCTTAGAATGTATAAACCTCCCACATACCCATCGTTAAGGAAATTACCTGATAATGCACTCCAGCATAATAAGGGAGAAAACCAAGAAAGAGGAAGACATGGGATCCAGGAAACAGTGGATCCAACCCAGGAGGGCAGCGAAGGGAAGTCCCAGGCTGAGAGCTGTACAGCAGGCCTAAAGAACAACCACTCCAGACTGGAGCAGGAGGATGGAAGGCTCCAGGAGGGATGTCTTTAGGGGGAAAAATGGACTCCAGGCAACAGGTAGCATGATTGAGAGGCTGGATAAACTTGAGGATATGTTGAAGGCCCATCATTCTTTTGTCAACAAGAAAAAAGAAAGGCAATTAGAACTCCAAGAAAATAAAAAAGGCTGTATAAGAAAGTTACAATCTAAATATGAAGCAAACTAAAATGTATCATGATTTTAAGCAATTGATGGAATGTAAGAAAAGAGAAACCATTTGACCTTGACACAAGGAACTTTCTTTTTTTAAGAGGCCTAAGATTATAACTCAGTAACTATAGAGAAGGAATATCATCTATGCATACTACTTGGCCCTGAAGTGAATAATATTTTCATACTACTTACTGCTTTTTAGTGTTTAGAATTAACCTTAGACAAAGAATGGAAGACTTGAATGTGGTTATAGAGGATAATGTGTATGTCATGCTTAAAAACATAAGAGAATACCTGCCAGGAAGTGAGAGGTGGAAGAGGGGAGGAAAAATGGACGAGTAGAGTTCCTAAGATTACTGTCTACAGAAAAGGAATTAAGATACTATTGTTGATGAAATTAAAAAATACAGGCATACAGATATTATTGGAAAAGATAATCAATAGAGCAATAACAGTTACAAAGTACTGGGAATAGTATGGATGGAAGGGTGAACTAAGTAAATCTTCATCTGAAATTGAAGGGAATCAGTGTATATGTGTGCATATATGGGTATATGGTATGCTTGTACATGCATAAAACATTTCCAGGATATATAAGAAATCAGAAGTATTGGTGGTTGCCTCTTGAAAGGGAAACTGGGCAGCTGATAGACAGGAGCCAAGGAGACTTTTTCATTCTATATTCTTTACACATTTTGAATATATACATTTTACACATATTTATACATTTTGAATTTTAACTCCGTAAACTATTATCCCACTATAAAATCAATCCTACGTTTTTAAAAAGAATAAAGATACAAGGATGCTAGAATTATGGGGTAACTTTGGAGAAGTGGGTTAAAAAACTGAAAAGTGGGGTTGGAGGCTGCTTTTCATCATAAGCTTTCTGCACTCCTGGATTGATTTGCTGTGATATGCCTTCCCTATGTTAATAAAAATTTATAAGTGAAATAAAAAAATAAAGCAAAATATGAATACTGGGTGATACTTGTGTTTGAGGAGAATGGATTCACTGAATAATAACTACAAAGTAAAAAAATTAAGGTGACTGTTGACAGCTGTAACCAACTAACCCCTAGAGGGCCGTTTGTTAATATCAGAAATATAAATGGACTGCACCTTTCAGCACAGTAATTCGGTTTCTGGGAATCTGTTATACAGGACTATTAGACAAGCAGGCAAAGATGTACGCAAAAGAAGGTTCCTTACTTCATTGTCTCCAATAGGAAAAAGCTAGGAACACCTCAAAAGTTCACCAATAGAAGACAAATACGACAACTGTGAAAAGCCTATACAACGGGATGAGATCATTAAAAAAATGAGGCCAACCTCTATGTTATACCCAAGTTATATGATTATGTGAAAAATGTAGTAAATTGTGCAACATCATGCATGGATTAATTCCTTTTTTCTAACAAAAAAAAAAGTACATGCATATGCTTGAACAGAAAAAAGTCTAGAAGGATATGTTGCAAATAATGGTTTTCTGGAACACTGATATTAGAGGACTTTCCTACATTAAAAGCTTCTGTAAAGTTTAATGCTTTTATATGACACATGTCTCACTCTTATAATTAAAAACTAGTTATAAGTGAAACAGGTGCGATGGGGCTCCTCCCATGACAGTGCCCTTTTCATCATGCAGGGTAGAGAGGAATGAGTATCCGGCTCTGAAGCTTCTCAGGCCAGAGAACTGGCCCAGCCTGAGGATGTTCATGAACCAGAAAGAAAGGCCAGGGATTGGGCAATGACTGTAAATGCCCGGGCAGCCAGGAACCTACCCTAGGCACAGCCAGAGTGGATGGCTTGCCAAAGTTCTCCCCAGTTCAAGGCCAGAAGGGGGCAGTCCTGGGCTCCTCCCAGACACTACCTTCCCATCCTCAACAATCTAGGCTCTGGAGATGGAGTGACTGAGCAAACAGACACCAAGACTGACATACACACACGTATGTGCAGATACACGCACACACACATGCATGCAGACACACACGTTTCATGCACAGACACCCACACAGAAACAGGCACACACGCCGGTGCTTGCATGCACAGAGCTGGGGGAGGCACTGAGAGATTACATAAACACTAAGATACAAAAAAAGACAGGAAAAAAAAAAAAGAAAGAACTGGAGAGAAAAAGGAAGGGAGAGGGAGACAAAGCCCATGCATCCTCCTCAGGAATGTTCCTTTGGCCTACACACACAGATGTGAGTCCCGTTCTGACCTCCCCCTGGGTGGCAACTAGAGTAAATGATGCCTGTTCTCTCAGTTTCTGCTCCTGCGGGAGAAAGCTAATCACCTTATTCTCAGGAGGCTAGGTCAGACAGTGGGAGAGTCTTCCAGGTATGCGGGCCTGCTGACCCAGCCACGCTCAGGGCAGATGTCAGGAGCCGGGTGCTACGCGGTGAAGGGTGAAGTGAGGGGTACTCACGGATAGCAGAGGAACAGGAGGTTCAGGAAGGAGTAGGTCCTGAAGAGGTGGATGAGGGAGCGGCACAGACTCCAGCCTGTTGCCGTGAGAACGGTGAAGCGGGTGAGGAACAGCAGGACCGAGCGTAAGAGGGAGACCTTCCCCCTCTGAGAAGCCTGGGTCAGGGCGAGATAGGACGGGCTGGGGCCTTGGATGGAGGCCACGGGGGTTGTGCCCAAGTCCCGCCCAGCATGGCCTGCGATCCCACCCAGGGAAACGTGGGGACAGCAGCCTGGGCAGAATCTGGCAAAGTGAATCTTTTTCCTCAATGCCCAGCAAACACCAAAGAGTGATGGGATGATGTAGCATTCTTCAACCAAGTTCAAAGGGAGCCCCAAGGAAATGCCTGAGGCTTGAAGGGTTTGGCATGTTTCCTTGGTACCCCCCGGGGGAAAGGGGAGTCCCAAAGTCCCCGGCCAGCCTCTAGGACCCAGTCACCTCCTTCACGATGGACCCAATGAAGCGGCGGCCCAGAACGATGGTGGTCACCATCAGCAAGTTGAAGTCGATCAGGTGGAAATTCTGTCAGGGGGCAGAGGCCAGGGGGTCACATGGGCCCCCTGCCCATAGATGGGTGTTTTTCATACCCACCTCCCCCTGCCCAGTCCTTTCCTTTTTTTTTTAAAGATTTATTTATTTATTCATTCAGAGAGAGCGAGAGAGAGGCAGAGACACAGGCAGAGGGAGAAGCAGGCTCCATGCAGGAAGCCCGACGTGGGACTCAATCCAGGGTCTCCAGGATCACACCCCAGGCCGCAGGCGGCGCTAAACCGCTGTGCCACCGGGGCTGCCCTGCCCAGTCCTTTCCATAAGGACTGTCCCCACTCTCTGACCTTCACAGGCCTCCACCTGAGTCAGGCCAGGAAATTACCTAGAGGAGCAGAACAGGACCCAGAGGAGGGAAGTGGGACAGTCCCTGGAGATAAGAGAGTGGTGTGTGAGCCCTCTTGCTCTGATCACCCATGACCCTGTCCCTGAACCTCTTTTTCTGCATGGAGATCTTTCCACTCCTGAAATACTCATGTATGCCTGTGGCTCTTATCCCGCACAGGACTTAAGACTCTGTGCTCCTTTAGGCAAAATCTGTCCGGTTTCTCTCTGCTACCTTTAAAATGCCTAAAATGGTACTGAGCAATGAGGGGTGAGCGTTCAGGAATCATTCGCTTCCCATTCCTTCTACGCTCTCCATGCCCAGCATGAGGCCAAGTGTACAGGGCGCTTGGTAAGCTACGCTAAACTGAAACCAAATGTCATGAGCACTGGAGCGCGCACACACACACACACACACACACACACACACACACACACGCACACAGCTGGTCCTAGCTGGGCACCTACCAGGGAGGTGTGGGAGGGTGGGTGGGAGGGTGGATACCACCACACTGTCTTGTAGATGTTGATGTAGTGCACGAAGAGGGCTATTAGCTGGCAGAAGAAGAGCTGCAACTCAAACAGAATGCTGGCCTGGACTGGCAGTTCAGGGATCTTGCAGTGCTGAAGGGGCACAACCGTCTGGGTGGCCAGTGGGGGCTGGAAAGGCCCGTCCCAGAACTGCTCCTGGGAAGTGAGAGGGAAAAACATTAGGAGCTGACCAGAGAACCCCACCAAGATGGGCTTCCAGGACACAGGATGGCGGGGCTGGATCAGAAAGGCAGCTCATGGCAAGGATTGAGTTTCCTGATCCTGCCTGTCAGACAAAGGAGCCAGCGAAGACTTTCCTATCCCTAATCTTATTTAGGCCTTCCAACATGTCCCAGGAAGGAAAAAAATATTAGATCCATTTCACAGATGAGGAAAAGGAGGCCCAAAGAGAGGAAACAACTTGTTCAAGTCATGAGAAAATCAGGAGCAGGACCGTATACTGGAATCCAGGCCTTTGGGCTTATTATACTATGTCCTGCCGCATCTACCCAAGTGAGCACCACCTGAGCTTTTTTGCTGCTTGCTATACTCAAACCCCCATCTGCCATCTGGGGTGTCATATCCTAAAGTCCAAGCCTAGTAAAGAAGAGCTTTGTTCGTATTGTCCCTGTGAGCCCACAGCAAGGGGAAAAAGACAGAGGTGTTTTACCTGGTGCGGGAACGGACACTGGTGACCGATGCACTGGAAGTATGGCCCCCACCAGAGCCCCCTGAGGATCCTGGCTCACACAGTGGATTTCGACAGTAAGATGTCCTGTTGGGACCTCTTCGTCCTCCTGTGGGACTCAACATAAGGTAGATCCTCAAGCCAGAAGGCGTATATCAAGGATAATAGCAATGATACTGGCTACTAGTTACTGGGTGTCTCATTGTATGATTCAATTGCAGAGACCTCTGATCCGGCCCCTGTCTACCTCTTCAGCCTCATCTCCTACTATTCTCTGCCTGGCCTCCATGCTTCAACCATACTATCCTTTCTCTCCTTAAGCAAACCAAACTGTTACCTCTTGTACTTGCTGTATCCTATCTGCAAAGCCCCTCTCTGACTGCCGTTTTTAAAGTATCTGCCTCCTTAATTCTCATTTCTATTTTTTTCTTCACAAAGAATTCACCCTTGGAATTTCTTATTCATTTATTAACATATTTATTGTCTTTCTCACTAGAATGGAAGGTCAGTGAGGTCATTACATTTTTGTCACTGTTGTATCCCTCACCCCCACCACAGTGCCCGGTATAAAGTGCCATGAACTACATGTTGATGAATTAATGAAACCAGCAAAGTAAGTTTTCCACAGGTTAGGAAACTGAGTTTACAACGTGTCACAGGTAGTTTGGGTCTGAGGCTTGAGCTGTTAGGTCTGGTATAACACTGCTCTGTTCAGATCCTACAAGTCTTATGATTCTGGGCACCCTTAAAGCCTTTTCCTCAAGAGTCCGAGATCCAGCTTAAACAAGTATCCTTGTGTCTCATGGTCAGGAGCAGGGTCTGAACATAGAGTCAAAGATGTGGGCTCTGGGAGAATGCTGTGGTGGTGGACCCAAAACCTATTTCTCTAGGCTTAGCAGTCCACCCCAAGCTCCCAGGCACCATCCTGCACAAAGGTCCTGTACGAAGCTCCAAAGCACCACCCAGTCCTAATCAAAGTTACAGCCTTATTCAAATCGCTGCTGCACAGTCTACACACAACACACCCCACCCACACACACCCCTGGCCCTAGCTTCTCAGCTCAGAAGCTTTTCCCACACGTCTCCAAAAAAGTACTTGTCAAGGAGCTCTGCACCCCACCAGCCCCCACCCCAAAAGCCCTGTTCCTATAGTATTATACCTGGCTTAAACATCCCACATGTGCACCCTCAGCCCACAACTCTGCCCACACTTAACTCCTTTCTTTAGAAGCTCTTACACCCACATAAAGCCCCTGGGCCCAGAAGCCCCGCCTACACACTTGTCAGCCAAGAAAACCCGCCCACAAGCCAATAAAGGCTCTCTTTGCCTAGAAGCCCTTATCCAGAATGGGCTCCCTAGGTCCGCAAGGTCTCCTTCCCGCCCCAACGCCCCCAGCGCAAAGACCCTACAGCCCAGAAAGTCCGCCCCCGGCCAAGCTCCAACAGCCCCGGGGCTCCGCCCGAGCACCAACGCCCCGGCGCCCGCCTAGCCCCGTCCCCACTCTGGCCCGGGCGAGGATCCTCCACCGAGCCCAAGCCCCAACAGGCCCTCTCCGTTTTAGAGGCCCCGCCCCTGCGCCAATGCCCCGCCCCCGCGAGCGAGGCCCCACCCCGCGAAGCGACCGGAGGGGGCGGGGTCCCTCTGCGCCCCGCATCCCCTCCCCCTTCCCTCGCTGGGATCCCGTCCGCGTGGGGGAGCAGTCAGCATCTTGGCCATCCCGACCCCCACGCCCGCTTGTTCCCCGGCCGAGCCGGACCCGCTCCTCTCACCCATCTCCTCCCCCCGGCGCTCTCCGCTCCGCCGCCGCAGCTCCTGCGGGCAATATGTCGGAGGCGACGGCGGCCGGGAGAGGACTAACCGCCGCAGCCCAGTCCCCGGGTAGCAGCCGCGCGCTCCCGCCTGGCCGCCAAATTTGCATACAAGGCGGGCTGGAAGCTGGGGGCGCGCTTCTTAAAGGGGCCGCGCGGACTAAGGCGGTGCGTGCGCGCTCTTTGTCTCGCGGTCCCCTACGCCCTTCCTGCAGCTGCTGCTCCGAGACCCCGAGGGAGGGAAGTCACCTCCTGCTCTTCTCGTGCATTTCTTCTCCCAGCCTGTCTTCAGGCCCGAGGGAGGAGGCCGGAACCAATTCGGGGCTCCTGCCCGAGATGGACCGTATCCTTGAGTGGCCCACAGGCGCCTCAAACTCAACGCAGGCTTTGGTCTTTGTCTTCAGCCTTATTTTTCTTTGGTCCACCCTAGTCAAAACCTGGGAGTTTTTCCTCCTCTTTCCCTCGACCCCCCCACAACCAGGATTTCACCTAGTTTTGCCCACCCTAAGTCCTAAATCTTTCTCTTGCCACCACCTTAGTTCAGATCCTGCTTCTGCTCTCTCTGAGCCTCGCAATCTTGTTTTTTGCTCTTTACAAGGAGGCGGGTAATATTCACCTTATAGGTGTTGGTGAGGAATGAATGAGATAACTCACGTAGAAGGTCTGTTTTAACAAATGTTAGCCATCATTATTATTAGGATACATGGCAAGTACTTAACACAGAGGAAGCACTCAATAAATGACCTACTACCACCAATTGTTAGGACTTCCTCCCTCACAAAACCTATCAGCTGTGGTTTTTTTTTTTTAAGATTTTATTTATTTATTCATGAGAAACAGAGAGAGAGACAGAGACACAGGTAGAGAGAGAAGCAGGCTCCATGCAGGGAGCTCTATGTGGGACTCGATCCCAGGATCTGGGATCACGTCCTGAGCCAAAGGCAGACGCTCAACCGCTGAGCCGCCCAGGCTTCCCCTATCAGCTGTTTTAATCACCTGGTAGCTCCATGGCTTAGCCCAGTGCTTGGCACATAACAGACATCAATATTCAATTAATCGAATGAATTAGTAGATACTTAATTAGTATATATTCACAGAGCTTACAGTTAAGTGAGAGGAGATGGACATAAAATTAGTAAATTCGGTAGTATGTTAGAAGGGAATAATTGTGGAGTTAGACAGGAAAGGGGGATGGGAGAGTGCCATTTTAATTGGGACAGTCAGAGAATGCTTCACTGAGAAGGTTAATTTATGGCCAAACACTTGAAGGAAATGACTGAGTCAGTCATTTGGTTATCCAGAGAAAAGGGGTACCCCAGGCAGAGGGAAAAACCAGTGGAAGGGCCATCAGGTATGAACATAGCTAATGTGGTTAAGAAACAGCAAGGAGACCAGTGTGGCTTGGCTGAAATAGACATGAGAGTGGGACATAAGAAGGGATGGACCATATAGGGCTCCTCCTTACTCTGAATGAGATGGGGAGCTATTGGGGGGTTTGAACTTATATTTTTAAAGAATCACTCTGGCTGCTGTGTAAGAGTAGACTGCAGGGCTGCAAGGGTGGAAGCAGGGAGACCAGACAGAGGATATGGCAATGATTCAAACAAGAGATATTGATGGATTGTAACAGATTGAGTGAGGGAGATGTGTTAGATTCTGGATTTGAGGGTAAAAGACTGGATTTGTGGACAGATTGGATAGGTGTAAGGAAGAAAGAGAAGATCAAGTATTACTCCAAGGTTTTTAGCCTTGGCAAATGGAAACGTGTTTAACACGTATACACCTATTAAATTTTAGATTTTACACCATGTCAGGCTTTCTCTTCTGAGAGAAAAGATGTGCAGAGAGGGAGAATGACCAGCTCACAAAGTAGAGAAGAGACCAGGGCTAAGATTCCTTTTTCCAGCTAAAGAAATTCTGGAAGGGACACCTGGTTGGCTCAGCCCTTAAGTGCATCTGTCTTCAACTCAGGGCGTGATCCTGGAGTACTGGGATCGAGTTCCATTTTGGGCTTCCTGCAAGGAGCCTGCCTCTCCCTCTGCCTATATCTGTGCCTCTCTCTGTATGTGTCTCTCATGAATAAATAAATAAAAATCTTAAAAAAAAATTCTGGTAGAAGAGCTGGTTCTGACCTCTTTAGAGTACTAAATTTGAAATATATCCTGTTAACTTCTGAATTGCCAAAGCCCAACACTACCTGGCATATGAATAGGCATTCAAATATGTATTAGTTGGGATCCCTGGGTGGCGCAGCGGTTTGGCGCCTGCCTTTGGCCCAGGGTGCGATCCTGGAGACCCGGGATCGAATCCCACATCGGGCTCCCGGTGCATGGAGCCTGCTTCTCTCTCTGCCTATGTCTCTGCCTCTCTCTCTTTCTCTCTCTGTGACTATCATAAATAAATAAAAAAATCAAAGAAAAAAAAACAAATATGTATTAGTTGAGTTAAATTCAGGTAGTGGCAAACTGGCTCTTAAAAGGAAAGCGAATGGGAAGGAATGCCAAGTGGTTTCAGGAATAGTCCATAAAGGACTGAAGCTGGACTATTCCTGGGAACTTGTTTTAACTCAGTTCAACAAAAAAATTTTAGTGTCATCATAGTGCAGGCACTATGGATACCAGGGTGCCACTCATTTTGGGAGAGACAAGAGATTCAATAAATTATGGCACAGTGTGATAACAATACCAGTATGTACCAAGTCCAGAGGTGGATGGAAGGTGATTAACTCTGACAGGGAGGTGATCAAGAGAAGCCTTCATGAAAGATGACATCAGAGCTGGTTTCTAAGAGAGGAATAAGAGTTTGCCTGTTATGCTCTTATGGGAGGAAGCAGTAGCTTGGGTCTGGTAATTGTCTTAGTGGTGCTGGTGACAACGGCATGTCTTGCTGTCCATCCATTATGTAGAAGGGTGCTGGACCTTGTACATGGCAAATACTCAGGAAATGTTTGCTTAATTGATTTGAGGGCATTCATACAACCCAGTGACCCCGTGTAAGAGCGTAAGGCCACTCAAATGGACAGCTATGCACGTAACCCATTATCTGTGGCTCTTGCCCATCTTGAACAGGCTGACTGTTGATTTTGTCTGCCCAACATCCATTCCTCCTTCTGGTTAGAACACTTTGATTTTCCCTTGGGGAACTACCCTTCGTTCCTCTCTCTGAGTCCATGTGGGGCTGCCTTACTCTGCAGTTGCAGTGTGGGCAGATAACCCTGGCCTGGTGAATCAAAGCATTCCAACCCTGCCACTCCATGCTACAATAACTGTTTGGGGGTGGGGAGTGGGGGGGTAGTGATATCAGTCAGGCCAAATGAGATGCAATACAATCCTAGGACCTTTGCTGGAACAATTAGGAAATAATTTCCTCCCCTCTGGGATGGTTAAGCAAGCAGGATATAAACTTGGAGCTTGTGGAGGCTATGTTGACACTTTTTAGGGGGGTATAACTTAGATAATAAAAGAAATATAGAAAAGTAAAAAATTGGTAGACACTGTCTTGATAGCATCATTTGAACCCCTGGATCCAGCCACACCTGAACCCTTTATGGAGGATTTTGGTGTTTTTTGTTGTTGTTGTTTTAAGATTTATTTACTTATTTTAGCAGGAGAGGGGTGGGGCAGAGGGATAGAGAATCTTTTTTTTTTTAAGATTTTATTTATTTATTTATTCATGAGAGAGAGAGGCAGAGATACAGGCAGAGGGAGAAGCAGGCTCCATGCAGGGAGCCCAATGTGGGACTCGATTCCGGGTCTCCAAGATCACATCCTGGGCCGAAGGCAGGTGCTAAACTGCTGAGCCACCCGGGCTGCCCCGAGAGAGAGAATCTTAAGCAGATTCACAGCTGAGTGCAGAGCCGATGCTGGGCTTGATCCCAAGACCCTGAGACTGTGAGCCGAAATCAAAAGTGGGACCCTAAACTTACTGAACCACCCAGGCATTCCTGGCCTTTTTTATTACAAAAAGTAAGTTTGTGTTTTGGTGTCTGACAACTGCAACTGACATAATCCAGAACAATGTACACTTCTATTCCAGTATCCAGCAGAAATATCTAGGGTCTGTCTTCTCACATCTGCCTCCTACAGGATCCCTGGGGAAAAGAAACATAAGGTGGCAGGATGTTGGTTAGGTTCTTGTTTTTCAGATCTGTGGCTACATGTCTCAGCTGTTCTGTGACCTTAAAGCCCTTGCTTCCTTTCTTTGCATCTTTATTTCCTTATTAACTTACTCTCTATTGGCTTTTTCAAGAGTCTGAAATTTTAAGGAAATGCCACTGGCTCTAGGCCAGCCCTATGTCATTAGGTGTCAAGAGTTGGGATGTCTTCCTTGGTCATGTTATTCTGGGGCCATAGCTGGCAATTCTGTCCTCTAGATTGGCAGTTTTCTACCTGGATTATGTAGACCTCTAGTGGCACCCTGTGAGGGTGCTGAAACCACAGGATAAAACACAGGACTGGTTTCTGGAGTGTCAGTTTTCTTTTTCTTTTTAAGTTTTATTTATCTGAGAGAGAGAGAGAGAGAGAGAGAGAGAGAGAGAGAGAGAAAGAAAGAAAGAAAGAAAGAAAGAAAGAAAGAAAGAAAGAAAGAAAGAAAGAGTGAGAGAGAGCACAAGCTGGGTGAATGGGCAGAGGGAGAAGCAGACTCACTGCTGAGCAGGGAGCCTAACTTGGAACTCTGGGATCATGACCGGGCTGAAGGCAGACACTTAACCTACTGAACCACTCAGGAGACCCTGGAGTATCAGTTTTATTCACGAAAACATGAGGCAATATTTTCAATATTAAAGTGTAGTTATTCAGGATGCCTTCTCTGCGCTAGTCTTAGAATAAAATCCTGACTTCAGCACTTACAAGCCTCATGATCTTAGGGAGTTCCTTAACCTCTCTGTGCCTCAGTTTCCTCAGTGTAAAGTGAAGGTAGTATTAGTACCTATCTTATGAGATTATGGTGAAAATCAGTCTGTGTAAAGTACTTAGAATAGTGCCTGGTACACAGTATAAGTACTATGTATTAGTTTCTATGATTATAACAGATCTATTATGAAGTACAAAAACTAATGTGAAT